ACCAACAGCCCAACTTCGAAAGGGCATAACTCACTCATACGAATTCGGAATTGAGCAAACTCAGTGGTGTTGGAAAGATCATTCTACGAGCTTTGAAACCACAACTGGAACTACACCTAACTCATCCTGAGCTAGAAGTTATGACTGCTCAAAGTTGGCCAAAAACTCACCTTTTTTCCATACTTGGACAAATTTCCAGATTTTTAAATCTTTCCAAAAATGACTATTTCCAATTCTAAGCCTCTTCATAATTATTTCAAATCGTCGGTTGTTACATGTAGTAGGTTTCCTACTTATTTATACAAATCACCGCGATTTATACAAAACATAATTTAGTTATGGAGCGCAAATAACAAAACTATAGCTATAGAGCACTAATTATCTTTGTTATTCCTATCTTATTATTTTAATACACATGAATCATGCATGTTACCTTTTTCCCTTGATGAAATAAATGTAATTAAAAACCATGATTAATAACACACACTACAATAAAAGATGAGAAAGTAGATCAAGCTTAATAATAATTTCATGAAAAGAATTGTTGTAGCACGTTATAACTAGCTATGGCCAATCTTGATTAAGCATGTTCACCTTTAGGTTAGAAAATAAATATATATCTTTTGTTTGTCAACATATATATTTTAAGCAAAAAATAGTTCACATAAAATTACGAACATTTATTTTTGAGTTCGTTGAGGAAGTTTCTATAGAAAAACATGGTACACAAGAACAGAAACTACGTGATGGACACGTATTTATTTAACTAATTAGAAACTCCTACTTTAATTTTACTAGAAATTGGTCATATATATTTAATATAATACAGCAATATAAATACAATTCGATTCGATTTTGAATCACATTACCATATCATACGTAATAAAATCAGTACAATTTGATTTGTCTCTTTTACGATTCGAAAGCTGATTACAATTCATCCTAATTGTCTTACTAATTGCAATTTGCATAAATGATTTCTCTCTCTCTCTAGTTATTTTTTAATGAATAATATTATGCCTTCAGATATATTTTACTTTTTAAAAATATTTAAAACAAGAAAAAGTTAAATACACGCAAAAAGACAACAAATTTAATGGAAAAGGAAATTCTTAACAAAACAAATCTATGCTCCATATTTATCGGTTTTATCTATTTCACTATATTTGTTACATTGTATTGAATTATAGCATGGTTTTCACTTTCAGCAATGGAGTGAATGATACATCTAGTCCAGGGGCTGAGCTACGTAAGGTGGTGTCAGGATGTTTAGTTGGACATTGTTCATCGAATAGATCAAAAAAATTTATATTGATATATATATTATTTTGGAGACCCCAAAATCAATGAAGACTCATAACGTAGTGGCAAGGAAGTGCACAATATTAAATCCGTATGACTATATTTAAAATCTGTAAGGTTTTAAAAACGCACAACTCTAATATGAATTCGGCAATAGAGTTGAAGTTGTGAAAAATCTAAAATTTGCCACCAAGCTATTAGAGTTGTGCATTTTTAAAACCTTACATATTTTACACCTTAGCAAATATTAGATTTTTTAAAAAGTAACCTAGGTAGGGGTGTACAAAATTGAATCGAAAATCGAATCAAATCGCAAATTGAGTCAAACTGGAAAAAAATTCGACTAATGGTTTGGTTTGACTTGATTTGGTATTGGAAAAAAAACTCGACTATATTTGGGTTGGTTTGGTTTTAACTAAAAAAAAGTCAAACCGAGACCAAACCAACCCGACATTATATATATAATTTATAAAATTTATTTTAAAAATAAAAGTATTTACTTTGATGTAATTTCTAAATATTACTTATACGTTTTCATAATTTTTATCTTTTAACATATTTTTTCAAGGTTTTTGAGACTTAAAATTTTGAATGGTCCAATAAAGGTTATAGTTCATAGATATTAGTAACTCTAATAAAGCTCAATTCGAAAATCAAATCAATACGATGACTAACAAAATAAATTAATTCAACACTAAGAATGAAAATAATGTTGAATATTTGTTCTTTAGTTTTACATTGGTTTCGACATTTTAAATACATTATCTAATTTAATGTAACTCTAATAAAGCTCAATTCGAAATCAAATCAATACGATGCTAACAAAATAAATTAATTCAACACTAAGAATGAAAATAATGTTGAATATTTGTTCTTTAGTTTTACATTGGTTTCGACATTTTAAATACATTATCTAATTTAATGTTTTCTTTAATATTTAATCATGTAACTAATACTTATTAGACTTATTTTAGCTGATTTGGTACTTTTAAATTATGATCATTTTCATTATGACTTTGCAATATTTATTTTATATGATGATTTCATTATTATTTTTTTATTAAATATTTTAGTGTCATCACTCATCTCATATTTTGTGTTATTTTCTTAAGAAACACCTTAGATAGTTGTATTTTGGTTGACCTAAAGAAATATTTGGAGCACAAGTTAATTATATGTTTGTATGCATACTTTACCGGAAAAATCCAAAAACCTAAAAAAATCCTAGGTTTATTAGTTTGGTTTGATTTAAAAATTTAAAAATTCGACACAATAGTTTGGTTTGGTTTGGTATTTGAAAAGCCCGAACCAACCCGAGGTTGAAAAACCCAAAAAAAAAC